GTGATACAACGGGTCTGTCTATCAAGCAGATGCGAAAGCTCCTAAAGCCTCTTCTAGACTGTGATGTTGCTACCCCTCCTCTTCGGTTTGAGGCTCTACAGATGGACGAGTTTGGAGCGTGGCTATTGACCCTGAAGAAGCCGGACGGCAGCAGCCTAAGCTACTCCGCGCTGAACACGCACAGAGCGGGTCTCTTCAATTTGTACCGGGATTACGGACTGGGAATCCCGGCTGCAATGGAGAAAGAGTTGCAAACGTACTTTAAAGGATTGAAGCGAGAGAGGGCGACCGCTGCAGCTCGTGGTGGAGTCCGGACGAAGACAGGCAAGGACCCATTGTCGTTTGATCTCTACAGTTTCTTCTGTGGGCAACTAATTACGCACTCTTCAAAGGATATGATTTTCGCCCGTACCTACATGGCTGTCGCCTGGAATCTAATGTGTAGATCCGCCAATGCTTTCGGTATTCGTCACGGGCACATGGAATAGAACGGAGATGCTCTTTGTATTTATTTTGCTCACCAGAAAAATGACCAAGAAGGTACCAGGCCCCGTGACCCGAAGCACATTTACGCTAATCCGCTGAACCCATCTATATGTCCAGTGCTGGCTATTGCTATGTTTTGGGCAACCTCATCGTTCGATGGTAGTGATCTTCTATTTCCTGGGAACAGTCAATATGAGCGATTCCGCAAATGTCTACATCGATTATTTGACCGAGACGACACAGCTGAGGAGCTACGCCGGCGTGGTATTAGCGGCGATGACCTCGGCACCCACTCTATGAGGAAAGGAGCCGCGACGTTCTGCGCATCTGGCTCAACGGCATGCCCGTCGTCGACAGCAGTACATTTGAGAGCGGGATGGTCGCTAGGTGGCGTGCAAAATACGTATCTACGGTATGAATCGGCAGGCGATATGCACGTGGGACGAACTGTGTCTGGTCTCCCTCCTGATAGTCATAAATTTGCCGTACTTCCCCCGCATTTTGATGAGCGTGACGACGTCGTCGAGAAGGGGGTTCACTGTGTATTCCCTGGTCTACCTTCTCAACTTTCTTTCGTGGGCGAATTTTGCTTAGCTTCTCTGGTCTACCACGCACCGTATCTACAGTCAAAACTCGATGCAAAACACTCGTTGCTAGAGTCCCCTTTATTTCAGCATCCTACACTTCTTTTGGATTTGTCTCAAAGGATTTACAGGATTGACGATGACAGTACTCGGCTGCATGCCACTGGAGTACCGCCACACGTCTCAATTCTACGGGAAATAAAAAAGCTACTTGAAGTGGCGCACAAGACCGTTGAGCACGTCGACGCAGCACGCGCTGGAACTATTAAGGATGTCATGGCAGTGCTTGAGGAGAGAGCAATCGGAGCAGGTGTCGTAACCTTTGATGGTCTTGACAACGCCCTTAAGAGATGCCTGGAATCTGCAGGCGTGGCCGCCTTGGTGGAAAAGCTCAACACAAAAGATCATCAAACCAATACTCAAGAGGACGAAAACGACACTTACATGCACTCATCGCACTTTTGGGGTGGGAAGTCTCGGCGTGTCCCCGCTGATTTTGATCTCCCAGACTGCTCGGTTAGCGCACTGTGGGTGCTCTGGCAGTGCGGAAATGCCAGCAAGAAAACCCCTCCGTTGCGAGTGCTTGACGGGCGTGACATGCCTAACAGAAACCTCCAAAAGCGGCTTAGTGATGCGCGTTACCTTATGCGAATGATTGAGGACGCAGCAAAACGTACCGGATTGTGGCGAGCTCGAGAGAGTGTCGCTGACGCTCTTAACACCTTCGCAGCGTGCTCAAAGAGCGTCGAGGTTCCCGAGCAGACTGCACGCAAGCGCAAGCGGCGTCGAGGACAGCTCTCGTGGATTTCTGTTGTGGCTCTGCATCGTAGGGCTCGAAAACAAAGCTAATCATTGGGTTAAATTCCTGTATACACTTGTCAGTGGTTGGTTGAAAATTTGACATGGTAATGTCCTGCAAATGTCCTGCAAATTCCGTCTAACAGTCATTCTACAGAATTTGCAGGACATTGAACCCATCAGATTCGTTACTGCAGGACAATGTGTCCTGCAATTTCCAAATGAAAAGAGGTACAACGAGAGCAAAGACTGGATCTGATTATAGTGGGGGAATAATTCCTGATTTTCACAATTTTGCAGGACATTTGTCCAGATGAATACGCATACAAAGATTCATACACTTTTTTTCTTCCTTCGAGCAGAACGATGGAGGACGTCGACTGGGAAGATCTCGCAAGGAAGGTCACGGAAATAAAGCGCAACACAGTTAGTGCACGTTCTCGGGCTGTATACAAGAACTCATACGGTCGGTTCATAGCATGGATTGTCATCAACAGGCCACACCTAGTTTCCCCGGTATTTGGGGCACGTCTTGGTGATACAACGGGTCTGTCTATCAAGCAGATGCGAAAGCTCCTAAAGCCTCTTCTAGACTGTGATGTTGCTACCCCTCCTCTTCGGTTTGAGGCTCTACAGATGGACGAGTTTGGAGCGTGGCTATTGACCCTGAAGAAGCCGGACGGCAGCAGCCTAAGCTACTCCGCGCTGAACACGCACAGAGCGGGTCTCTTCAATTTGTACCGGGATTACGGACTGGGAATCCCGGCTGCAATGGAGAAAGAGTTGCAAACGTACTTTAAAGGATTGAAGCGAGAGAGGGCGACCGCTGCAGCTCGTGGTGAAGTCCGGACGAAGACAGGCAAGGACCCATTGTCGTTTGATCTCTACAGTTTCTTCTGTGGGCAACTAATTACGCACTCTTCAAAGGATATGATTTTCGCCCGTACCTACATGGCTGTCGCCTGGAATCTAATGTGTAGATCCGCCAATGCTTTCGGTATTCGTCACGGGCACATGGAATAGAACGGAGATGCTCTTTGTATTTATTTTGCTCACCAGAAAAATGACCAAGAAGGTACCAGGCCCCGTGACCCGAAGCACATTTACGCTAATCCGCTGAACCCATCTATATGTCCAGTGCTGGCTATTGCTATGTTTTGGGCAACCTCATCGTTCGATGGTAGTGATCTTCTATTTCCTGGGAACAGTCAATATGAGCGATTCCGCAAATGTCTACATCGATTATTTGACCGAGACGACACAGCTGAGGAGCTACGCCGGCGTGGTATTAGCGGCGATGACCTCGGCACCCACTCTATGAGGAAAGGAGCCGCGACGTTCTGCGCATCTGGCTCAACGGCATGCCCGTCGTCGACAGCAGTACATTTGAGAGCGGGATGGTCGCTAGGTGGCGTGCAAAATACGTATCTACGGTATGAATCGGCAGGCGATATGCACGTGGGACGAACTGTGTCTGGTCTCCCTCCTGATAGTCATAAATTTGCCGTACTTCCCCCGCATTTTGATGAGCGTGACGACGTCGTCGAGAAGGGGGTTCACTGTGTATTCCCTGGTCTACCTTCTCAACTTTCTTTCGTGGGCGAATTTTGCTTAGCTTCTCTGGTCTACCACGCACCGTATCTACAGTCAAAACTCGATGCAAAACACTCGTTGCTAGAGTCCCCTTTATTTCAGCATCCTACACTTCTTTTGGATTTGTCTCAAAGGATTTACAGGATTGACGATGACAGTACTCGGCTGCATGCCACTGGAGTACCGCCACACGTCTCAATTCTACGGGAAAAAAAAAAGCTACTTGAAGTGGCGCACAAGACCGTTGAGCACGTCGACGCAGCACGCGCTGGAACTATTAAGGATGTCATGGCAGTGCTTGAGGAGAGAGCAATCGGAGCAGGTGTCGTAACCTTTGATGGTCTTGACAACGCCCTTAAGAGATGCCTGGAATCTGCAGGCGTGGCCGCCTTGGTGGAAAAGCTCAACACAAAAGATCATCAAACCAATACTCAAGAGGACGAAAACGACACTTACATGCACTCATCGCACTTTTGGGGTGGGAAGTCTCGGCGTGTCCCCGCTGATTTTGATCTCCCAGACTGCTCGGTTTGCGCACTGTGGGTGCTCTGGCAGTGCGGAAATGCCAGCAAGAAAACCCCTCCGTTGCGAGTGCTTGACGGGCGTGACATGCCTAACAGAAACCTCCAAAAGCGGCTTAGTGATGCGCGTTACCTTATGCGAATGATTGAGGACGCAGCAAAACGTACCGGATTGTGGCGAGCTCGAGAGAGTGTCGCTGACGCTCTTAACACCTTCGCAGCGTGCTCAAAGAGCGTCGAGGTTCCCGAGCAGACTGCACGCAAGCGCAAGCGGCGTCGAGGACAGCTCTCGTGGATTTCTGTTGTGGCTCTGCATCGTAGGGCTCGAAAACAAAGCTAATCATTGGGTTAAATTCCTGTATACACTTGTCAGTGGTTGGTTGAAAATTTGACATGGTAATGTCCTGCAAATGTCCTGCAAATTCCGTCTAACAGTCATTGATTTCAATTCTGACCGGTGCGAGATGTCTGAAAATTTTATTATTCTCAAATTCTATTGGCAGAAATTCAAAGACGAACAGCACCCACAGAAAAAAAAAAGGTTTTTGTCATTGGAAGTGAGTATTTTGCCCGACTGGCTAACCGACTATACAATTATACCCCCCAACATGCATAAAATGGACTTAGCCGACGGTCTTGGCAACACTCGCTCAGAATTAATTTCTAATCCCAGACACAGCGCCTTGCCGAGTCGAGGACTTAGAGGCCGGGGTGGGGCAGGGCGCGCAGCGGCGCCCCCCGAGCGCAGCGCAGCAAGTGAAGAGAGAGGCGGGCCCACGGCTATAAGTCCGCAGACGAGTGCAAACGCGCTAGTGTCCAACCTTTACTCCAATTTAACCGTACTACACTATTTGTACACGTATAAAAGGCGATGCTATGTTACCTCAGTCGGGCAAAATAACGAGTGCCTTTGTCATTTAATACTGGTACAGTATAATTTGGTGCATAGAATTGTAAATATCGTGATTATTGTCAAATTGCAGTTAAACATGAAGCCAATTGAAAAATGCTGCCCAGTTTAGATAATATTCAAGCCCCGCAAGTATGAAAAGACCACGTAAGCCGCATAGAGCATCAACAGGAGCGCACACGCAAGTGGATAGAGTTTCCAACGTGAGGTAACCAACACCACCACAACGAAGAGTAGTACGGCGAAAAGGATCGCAATCGAGATATCAAGATCGTCTCCCGACACTTGCACGGTTTCATGATAAACCAAGTTTGACAGGAAAAAGGGAAGTCCTAGCCCAAACAGGATGTCGAAGACGTTACTGCCAAGAGCACTGGAGACAGCCATATCGCCGCGTCCCTCGCGGGCAACAAGGATGGAGCTCAATGCATCTGGAATCGAAGTGCCAGCAGCAATGATTGTGAGTCCCATAAGAGCGGAAGGAATACCAGCGATACATCCGAACCTTGTCCCGAAGGCGACGGTGTAATGTGAGAGCACGCCAATCCAGATGATAGATATCACGAAGGTCGCTGAGTAGCCCATAGGCCCTGAAAACGCAGGGTAGCGGCAGTCTGGGATCGTGATACGTGCCAAGACCACGATGGGCCATGTGAACACGAACCACACTATTGCCAAACAGCCTTCTGGCGGAACCAGCACATCATGGAAGTACTTTGGCAGTGGATCCTCGTCATCATCTGCATCTGGCACATGACTCGTCTCATCTTGAGTTTTCTCCTTTATATTATCCTTTGCCTCCATATCCTCTAGCTCGCCGGCTGAATCCATGCGGTAAAGCAACTGCTGCGACTGGAACATGCGGTACTTCGAACGCAGCATCGGATTCAGTTTGTCCTGCTCGCCGAGAAATCCACCCTGGTGTCCGTCTTCGTCGACCGGCTTTTGAACATCGACCATGGCTACAATTACTTCTTTCGTCAATGTGGCGTCTGAATCCGTAATTATTGTAAGCTTTTCCGCCTTCTTTCCTTGGTGTTCGTCAGCCTCTGGACGCTTACAGCAACAATTGACCGCTCGCTCATTGAATGCCATGTAACTGATGTAGCCTCCATATGAGCAGACCATGATCACCGAGTCCGATACATCGACGCTGCCATCTGATACGGCGAAAGCCAGTACACCGATGGCCCACGTGTACCAAAGTGAATCGCGCAACAGTGGGCGCCAGTCAAGCTTTAGAACTTGACCCGCCAGCAATCCTGACAACGAAATAATGATGAGGATATTAAAAATGGCCGAGCCTACGATAGTGCCAACGCCCAAGCTCTCGGTGGGTTTTGTAAACACGTTGTCGGCCATAGACACAAATAGTTCAGGGGCCGACGCGCCTGCCGCCATGAAAGTGGCCCCAGCAACGTCGGGCGACAAAGCTAGCGATTCGGAAATATTCTCCAGTGCCGACACGAAGTAGTCGTCGCAGATGATAGCAAGTGACACGAAGATGTAGCCCAGTGCCATGATGTACAACACAATACCACCGTTTGTCTCCCAGCCAGCTAGCTCCCCGCATGAATCCGAGTCGGAAGAAGAAGAGGGTTCAGCGAGAACGCGAGCGGCAGGCGAAGGATCAGACATCACGCGATGAATCATAGCCGAGAACCCTAATGTGCAACCAGCGACCACCGCAGCCACGCCAACCGATTGCCGCGCCAACCTCCGGACACGCCGATGATGGTGCTGCCGCATCCTTTGCGGCATGGTCCTCCGTCCCTCAGTGAAGGATAGGTTTTAACGTCATAAAACAAGAAAAATCATAAAACACATTGAGAAAGCACAGATTTTTAAGTAATTTCACAAGAAACATCGTAATGAAAAATAAAACCACTATTATCCCGGCCACCAAACCTTGGACAAACTTTGGTCCAAAAAAGGTAACCCTTCCCTTCACAAAACCCATAACGATAGTTAGATATAAGGGGTAAAATCGGGCGTAGATTCCGATTTTGAGGTCTATTTTTGCGTATCTGCAACCATTGATCTCCCAATCGGCCGTTTAAAAAAGGCTCTATATCTTGCAGAATTGTTTGCAATTGTGGGCTTGGCACGTACTAACATGCATGCATATTCATTGGCAGAGCCGGGATAACAGGTGGGGATTTTCAGAACCGGATGGATAAATTCCAAATATTACCGCAATTTGACGATTGTTAGAAAATTATAAACTTGTTAAAAAGAACCCGTCAAAAGAATATCTAGAGTGTAAAGAACATACAACGGGTCACCCGTTCATATTCCTAATCGGCTACAGCTTCATTGTCATCGACGGCGTCATCCTCTTCCGTGTCCTCGTTGCTGCCCTCTGGTTCCGATGCAATTTCGCATTCATCACCTTGCTGCAGATATTTTGTCTCGTATTTCTGGAGGCCTCCCAGATGGTTTTGGACCTTCCATCTGTCATAATTAATTTGTCGACCACTGAAATGATAAATATCAATAATAACTGAAATGATATGAAGTACAGCCTACCGAGGTGAAATTCTTGTCGTGGTGCTGCTCCCAGTGCGCCCATATAGCTGAAATGGTGCCCGTAGCAAAGCCTAAACACTCTTTGACATGATAACGAACTCCTCCTTTCCATAGATGCGGTGCAGAGGCCTTCTTTTGGCGGAGGAACTCGTAGGTCTTCACAACCAAGTACTTCTCAGCAGCAGTCAATTTCTTACCGGCGACCATTTGAAAAGTAGTGAACATTATTAGATGCTGTGAAGTTCTTACGAGAATAAATAGACACCAAGCTATCTATTAAGGGGACACACAACGAAATCGGCTCTACGGTTGCGGAGTTACATTCCTCTAATTTAAGATAAAATATATTACCATTTTTGTCCAAGCCTTTTTGGCCGGGATAATACCGCATTTCGCATGTACACCATTGCCGGCCAAGTTACCAGTTTTACCAACCATCGTGCAAATGGCCCGTTCTTGTGAGATCTAAAAAAATTTCTTGAATGCCGTAGCCTAAAATTAAAAATGGTGTGTCTCCACACAGCCTTAAATTAGATCTCACAAGAACGGGCCATTTGCACGATGGTTGGTAAAACTGGTAACTTGGCCGTGAAATGGTGTAGAGAGCTCCCCACTGGTGATAGGTTTAGGGAATAATTCAAAGTATACCCAAAAACACACGTGCAGCCCAAAAAAAAGCAATTGTATCAAATTTTAGTCACACCACTGCCGGTAAACTCGAAGTCCTGCTCTTCTTCTACGGTTGGACCTTCAAGCAGAGATAGCCTCTCTAAATCCACAATAAGATCGGCCGATGCGATGCAGTTGGGGCTTGGTAGCAGACCACTAGCGCGAAACCCGTTTGCTATCGAGTCTGATGAGAGCTGGTTCCACGCTTGTAATACCCAGCCACAAATTTTTGTGCGGTCAGGCTTATTCAATTTGAACACCTGGCCTGGTGCTCACGGGGCTCTAATTTGCGCTTGCATGTCTTCGTGTCAATATTTCCGTAGTCTGCTCTTGAGTGGGAAGTTCCACGCGACGTCTGCAAACTGTGAGACAGGCGTAGCGTGAGGCGGAACTTTTAGTTGATAGACATTGCATACGAACAGACTCTGTAGTAATCTTGTACTGCTGGGCATGTTGGCCTGCACCACCGCAGCTTGGTCTTCCTCTCGGGCGCTGGCGCACCATTGAAACTGGTGGCTTATCTTTTGTGAAAAAATACACCGGTATACCGGTAAAATAGATGTGTAGCTCTCTACATGCGATCTCACGCTGTAAAACAGAATGCCTAGTGATTGGTTAATAATAGGGTGTAGCTCATAAGCAGCTGCAGCTCTCTACATGCGAAATGCGGTAACTACCATCGATAACCCCCTCCCAAACACCGAAGCTCTAAGCTCCCAACCATGCCACGACCCCACGACTGGAACGCAATTACCTGTGATCTGTCCGAAGACGTTGCTGATATGCTACTTCAAACTATGAAAGCGTTCACGGCAGCGAAAAGCCATGCCCTGTACCTCGTGTGCGCCTCCCCCCCCCCTCCACCACCACCACCACCACCACTTAATGCGCTACAAACTTCTCTTGGTCGACAATGCACAATGTCCGGTTGTAGCGCCGGTTGCGAAGTGGCAAGATGGTCACGTGCATCGAGTCGAACAATATAACACTCTGTGAAATGGGAAACACTTCTTAACGGCCAATCCACGAAAAAAAAACAAGATCGCGCGCATCCAGTAGACATTTATTCAAGACATGACAACGGAAAAATCTAACACCTCTCCGTATCTTGCATGGTATGACACGCAAGTTTGACAAAACTGTGGTGTAGCGGGATCAGCATAATCTGCGAGGTTGCTGGATCCAACTTACCAACCGCGCCCAGACACCGACTAGCGGAGGGGTCCCGCGATCATCCGTGATCTGCTAAACTTTCCTCACCTTATGTACTCGTCGGTAGGGCGGGGTCTTGGTTTCTTGGTAGCTTCCGAAGCGTTCAACTGGTGAGGCTTGAGTATCTTGGCGAGACGTGGGGATGGGGTGGAGTAGGAGTGATAAGATCTTCACTCTGCGTCCGATAGTAGTTATGGATCCAAAGCGATTATTCGAGCTTAGTGGATCCAGGGTCTAGCTCTGAAATGTGGCCGTAGGATTGCCTTGCGGGTGTGTACCCTTGCTTTTGAGTTTCTTTGCGTCGTACTTGCCGCTTCATATAGCGGGATCTTGAGAGTTGAGATACTCTTAGGTATACCCGGCCAAGTAGTAATCCGGTTAGCTTTACGGATCT